CTCTCTTATGTAATTTGGATCATTGACAGCGGAAGGAACAGCACAAGGGTTCTGCCATGCCAGATGCTCCTCTGCTAGCTGGTGGCTGGGATGGTTTGTGTTGTTGCCAGGTGTAGGGTTATTGGAGCTGATGCGCAGCCCTGTATTTGCAGGTGTTGGGCGTGGTGTGTCTCCAGTGAGGATAGGCTCATAAGCAATAATCAGAGGAGGTCCTTGAGGCTGAGGGATTTGTTTGCGGAGGTACTGTTGTCGATTGCGCTCTTTTTTTGCCTCTGCTGCTTTGCTAGCAGTAGCATACTTCTTTGGACGTCCTCCAGGCATATTGTAGACTGTACTGAAGGTGTATTGTGACAGTGAATAGTGGTTGAAAAACTTTCAGCCAAAACTACAAATCAGGCTTAGTGGATTCAGCAAAAACTACCAATTGGGAGAGACATCAAAAATAAGCAATTATTTGCCTATGCATTGATAAAAAACCAATTAAAGATGTAATGCTGGTTGCATGCAGCTATGACTATGTGCAACCTGACTTCATGTAACTGTGTGTTGGTACATAGGGTGGCAGTAATGTTGATTCAGCCAAAACTACTATTTTGGTTAGTGGATTCAGCCAAAACTACTAATTAGGAAGGACATCAACAACCTGCCATTGTTTGCCTGTGCATAGCCAAAAATCACATCAGGGATACAATGCATATTGCATATAGCTATATCTATGTCCAAGTTACCTTGATGCAGCTCTGTGTTGGTGAAATAGTGATGGTGATGGTGATTCAGCCAAAACTACTATTTAGGTTAGTGGATTCAGCCAAAACTACCAATTAGGAAGGACATGAAAAGCTAGCTATCATCTACCTATGCATGTCCAAAAAAGATACCAAAGATACCATGCAGGTTGCATGCAGCTATGTCTTTGTACAAGCTACCTTGATGAAGCTGTGTGTCATTACAAAGAGTGGTGTTGGTTGGAATTCACCAAAAGTACTATTTGGGTTAGTGCACCTTGGATGCTGACCTTACCCAATTGGGATGCCCACCACAGGTACCCAATCTTTGAACTGCAATAGCACCACAACCACAGCATGCAGAGCTTAGCAAAGGATAGCGTTGTGCTCAGAAGGCTTTGTTTTATCCTCCTACAGCAGAAACCAGAAAAAAAAAATCCTAACCTTCACCCATATTTCAACACTTGAAATAGTGCTTACGAGCTTTGCTTAAAGTACGACTTCAACATATACAAGCACGAGATCAACGGTACTGATCTACCTACCCTACCCACCTACGTTGAGAAGATGATGAAGTATGTCCGCCGAGCTGCCCAGACTACCAAATCAACCCTCCTGTTTACCTTGGCTGCTGAGCTTGGGATTGCAAAACCACCATGCATCTGTGGGTTACCACATGCTCTACACGATTGTTACATACTCAATCCACTTCATCCAAGCCAACCAAAAGACTGGACGCCAGCACCTATTGGAGTCCGCAAGGTTGAACAAGCTTGAAAGGATCCTACAATTGCGAAGCAAATTGAGAAAGCTATGACTAAATGGAATTCACGTCAAAAGAATGGTGACTGTATTCAGGTGGATAACGGCCTACCACCTGGGGGGCACGCATCGTTTGTAGTCAACCTACTGGATACAGGTCAGTTACCACCAATTCACTGACTTGGTGACAACTGGGGGGTGTGTCACGGTTTGGGGTGCTCCTGCCTGTTGTACCTCACCTCCATGAGAGTGACTGCCACGTCACACTAGCGTTGTTTACAGCTACTCACATATATTGTCACGGTATCCTCTCCAGATCCCCTGACAATATCCGGATCCGCTCTGTACTGTCCCTGACCGTACGCACCAAATCCCCAGCGTCCTTACACGCCTCCAAAGCGGACGTACAACCTCCAGTCACCTCCAGAGCGGGCCTGCAACCTCCAAAGCGAGAGTACCAGGATTCTGCAAGCCCCGCTCTGGGACTTGCAACCCCGATACCTATCCAACTCAGTTCCAATTATTAACCGGTAACCAAACAAACCCACATGTAAGTATATAGACTATTGCTGGTAGAGTTCTGTTCGGTACACAACGTCTTGTACCTACTCAGATACCGTACGTAGTAATTGATTTAGACTCCTAGCGAGTCCTAAAGGGCCTACTCATAGCATCTTTGTGACATATATATACTGTTTGTAGCTTCACTCAATACAACCTCAGTACAATCTTCAACTTCTTCCTTTACGTACAGTTTTTCACTGAACTCTGACATCATGCCTCTCAAAGAAGAACCATCTGTCTCCAGAGGCCTGCTACGGACGCCATTTCGACGAAGTACATCGACAATGTCGCCATCCTTGCGTGGGCGACACCACAGAACAGATGTGCCAGATACTGAGCACGATACTCCAGCAGGCACAGCGATGGGCCAGCACACACGCATCCGTCTTTGCGCCAGACAAGTTCCAGCTGACTCACTTCACGAGGACCCGCAAGAGCATTGACACCAACGCTCCCATCCACACCGAGTGGGATGAGATCAAACCAGCAACATCTCGGGCTGACCATGGACGCGTATCCTCTCGGATAGGCATCCCAGAGCTTCAATTCACTTGCTGTGGGGGTGTGTCCGTGCAGGCAGCGCTCTCATTAGTCAGCTTTTTTGATTAGCTCCCGCACTACCGTGTCCGTGCGAGTAATGCACGGATTCGCGTAATGCGCCGAACCACCTTTTTGTACCCATACTTCACTGTACAATTACTCAACGCCACAATGACTATGAAATCTGCCTTTGAAGAGATAGACTCTATGATACCAT